CTCCTCTCCTTCTCCCCCTCTCTCCCCCCTTCCTCCCTCCCCTCCCTCTTTCTTTTCCTGTGTGTGTGTGTGTGTGTGATGTTAATTTTTGGATTCTGCTAGTTGCTTTGACTAACTTAATTATTACTTTCTTTGTTCTTGACATTATTTCAACCAATCTGGTGTACATCTTTATCAAAAGTGTGCTAATAACATGTCCTAATTAGATGAGGAAATAAGTCATTAATAAATACAGCTTTCATAGCAACTCGTAACATTGAAATAGATGGTAGGGAGTGTGTATCATCATGTGGCACTCTTCACAGTTGTTCATGGAATGTGAAATCAGTTATCTCTGTTAATGAACAGTAGCTCTGAAAGCTTCATCCACAGTCTACTTTCTGCTGCAAATCGAAGCTGTGGCTCTGGGGTGTGAGGTCCAGTAACTCTGTGGATTCCTTGGAGAGAGACTTTCCTACTCTCACATACCTCTTTACAGTAGAGCCGGCACCAGAAATCATCTCCTTTCCTTTTGTGGTCTGCGTACTTTTCTTATCCAACACTGCCTCTTCATGTGCAGTGGTAAGGCAGGCCACAGGGTCAGGACATGCCACTGTGAAAGGCAGCACTTAGCTTGGGGCTTGGGGTGGATGTGGAGACACTCCCAGATATGCACATCACCCAGGGCCCAAGGGCTCCTTTTAGCTGCTCAAGCCCAGTCAACTCTGTGCACTGAATTCTCTTCTTAAGGAAGTTCGGCTCTCTTAGTGGGACTATGTCTTGTTAACAGGTATGGATAAGCGGTCAGCACACTTGTGCGAAGTATTTAAAGAGCTGAGAGGATTGGCTCTGTGAGTTGCATGTAACACCAGTACTTGAAGAGTTAGGTTTGGTAATTGAACAGGCCCCATACCTGTCAGTCTTTAGTGTCCTGATGAGCTAGTTTTATACTCATTGAGGGGCAGTGGCGCACAAGATGACACTGCTGCCACCTTTACACCAAGACTTGCCTGCTTCTTGGCTTTTGCTTCATTTGTCAGTTGTGACCTGCGTTCTTAGAGGGTCCTCTTGCTAAAGCAACAAATAGTGGAAAGTTTAAAATCCCATTGATTTGAATGCTTTGTCTTTGTATCTTCATTTTATATCCCACCTTCCAGATGGATGCTCAAAGGACTTTTGAGTGTGTTACAGGGCTCACAGGTCTCCCTGTGGCTTGGCTTTTGACTCTCTAATGCCATTTTCTCATCTATAACGAACACTTTGTTCACAGCGTGCTTAAATTCCCCTCCTGGGCTCTCCTAACCCTTCAGACCTCCACCTCTATACCCTGCCAACACTGCTGTTATTGAAGTTTTTCACTGATGTCATTACCTACTTGGCTGTGGCACCAAATCTGCCAGCAGCTTTTGACACTGTTGAGCACTCCTGTCTTACTTTGCTCATTGCTAAGACAAAATAACTGATACCCAAAGTTAAAGGAGGAAAGGTTTATTTTGGCTTACTGTCTGTAGAGGTTTCAGTTCCTAGTTGGCTGGCCCCAAGGCAGGATGGCACAGCAGAGGGGTGCTGCAGAGGAGAAATGTCCCTGGCAGACCAGAAGGAGGAGGGCAGCAAGGCAGTGAACTAACAGGGGAGCAGCAGGAGCAGCAGCAGCAGCCTCTCCCGTCTATCTCTTCTAAGCCACCCAAACCCAGGGTGAGCCTTCCCATTATCCACACTCAGAACTATGCCAGACCAACCAGCATCCTGATGTAGTGATCACACACCTTTAATCCCAGCATTGCATACTTTAGAGCCATCTACCTGTGAGAAACTTCACTTGTGAGCACGTGAGGCTTTACATAGATATCTAGACACAACAACTCCCTTTCCCAGAACCATCTTTCTGGGTTTCCTGACACCATACTCTGTACTTTCTCTCTCTCATACTGTTTCTCTTCCATCCCCTGTGCTGGCTCCTATCTTCTTCTTGACCTCTAAATGGTGGCATGGCCCAGAGCTCAGGCCCTGGGCCTTATTTCCTTGTCTATATTCACTCTGTTATTGTCTCCTATCTCAGGGCTTTAAATGCTACTTAAAATACTGTCAGATTTGTATCTGTACCTGTACCTGTTCCCTCCTGGGTTCCAGGCTCATATGTCCAATTGTATGCTTGATATCAGCATTTCAGTATTGAATATTCTCAGACTGAATATGTCTAGGTCAGGGTTCTCATATTCCTCAAGTTGTTGTAGATATAATTGCCTTGCCATCTCAGGTAATGGTAGTATCATCCTGCAGAAATCTTGGAGTCATCCTTTCCTGTTTTCATATTAGACCTGTTCACTTGTTTAGAAAACCCACTGGGTCTACTTTCACAATTTCTCCAGAATCAGAGCATTGCTCTTCCTTCTCTGGTCACTTCTGTTGTGTAAGCCACCATCATCCCTCACCTGGATTCTGACAAAAGATTCCTTATCTTCTCAGTCTATACTTTTTTTAGGGGGGGGTACCAGAGATCGAACTCGAGCCCTTGTGCTTGCGAAGCAGGTGGCAGAAGCACTGAGCCAAATCCCCGGCCCTTCTGAGTCTGTTCTTAAGCTTAGGGCTTGAAAAATAGATTTTTCTATTTATTTACCCATTTGAGTGTTAGAGATTTGATTGGGTCTGACATGTAGTAGGTAAATAGTCTACCACTAAGCTGCATGCCCAGCCCCGAAAGTAGAAGTTGGAACATACCGAACTACTCAGACCTTCTTGCTCCTTATTTCTTTCAGAGGAAGAGTCAGGGTTCTTCTGGTGGCTTCTAGACCCTCCCAGCCTGACCTCAGGTACTTCTCTGGCCTTATCTCTTTCTCATTTACTCGGTCTTCCTAGACACCTGGGCATCCTTGCCTACCAGAAAGAACATGGCGCACTCATGATCTAGAGATCTCATCCTGGATGTTCTCCTGCAAGGACATCTAGATGGCTCTTCTGGCTCTCTTTCAAGGCTTCATTCAAGCGGAGCCTCTCCAGTGTGGCTCTGGATGTCATAGTTAAAGCTGGGAATATGTTCATGTAGCACTGTTTTCTCATATACCCTTTATCTGCTTGCTTATTTTATCACTTTATCACTAACATCTTGCATAATTTTTTGGCTTGTATTTTTTATTGTCTTTTTCCTATTCCTCTAGATTGTAAGGTCTGTGTGATAAGATTTGTGGCTTTTTTTTTTTTTTTTTTTTTTGCTCACTGGAATGTTCTCAGCACCTATAAAAATCCTGAGCTCTTTATAAAAAATTGTGAAATGAGAGAATGAAAGGAGAGTTAAACCTAAAAGTGCTCAGTATAAACTTTACCCCATACTAAATGTCCACAGTTAGATTTTATACAGTACATAGTGATTACATTCATCATGGAAAAGTTCGTGCATGTACATGACATATCTTAACTTTATGTCTCCTTTCCTCCCTCCCCCCACTGTTAGACTTTATTACTATGGGCCAGGGATTTGGCTCAGTGGTTCTGGCACCTGCCTCGCAAGTACAAGGACCCGAGTTCGATCCCCAGTAACAAAAAAAAAAAAAAATTGTATATTACTACAGTATCTGTGTGAACTTTTTCTTAGTGACACAAGTGGCTAAGAATGATAAGTCTTGAGTTTACAAGTCAAAGATTTTAGGCAACCAAGCTCTGCAGGATTTTGCTTGCTGCCAACAAATAGCTGCAAGAAAGCACCTATATAAGTTGTGCCCTGGGTATCTTCAAAGAGCTACATTCATTGAGGGCGGGGACAGTAACTAATGTCAGAAGCACTCCATCTCTGCTTCCAGTCATGTATGTCCTGGTTCTATTGGTCAAATCGGCTTTTTGATCTGAATTCTATGCAGTTATGGTCAAAGCCAGGAGCCAGGCACGTCATGGCCCCTAAGAGTATGTGTAACCCTTTGCCAGTGTTCTAGAGCCTTTGTTCTAGCTTGGCCACAGCTTTGTAGTGCTAGCCTGAAAAGCCCAGTGGAAGACATCAACATCTGGAGGGTACTGGGTGATTCTGAGACAGTGGAGGGTATCAAGTCCTCATGACCCAGGTGACCTCTAAGAAGTAACTCAGGATCTTGGGAGCAATCCCTGTCTTCAGCCAGCCCTTGTTGCTGCTCTATGGCTGCTTTCTGGACTCATCTTGCTTGTGGAGTGACTTCCTAAAATACAAAATCCTACACCATCCAAGAAAGGGAGCTTGGAAATCCCATTTCCCCAAGTACCCCAGGTGACTTTTAGGAAAGAATCAACTGAGGAAACAGGACAAAGAATTAAAACCATTTAGATATTTCTATTTTCTGCTTGACTTTTGTGTGTGGAAGGTCTATGGGCCAAGTTATTTAAGACAAACTAAATGCCGTAAGAGTCTGTTCCTGGCTGTCCTCACTTTGTTGTCTGGTGATGTATTCATGACAGTACCATTGGGCATGGATGTATGTCTGCAGCTTGTATTAATGCTGATCTCATTCCTAATCTAGCCTCTTATACTGCCTTGATAGGGCTTAGTTAGAATATTGGAAATACGGGAGGCAGGGAAAACACTTTAAGTGAATTTTTATCTGGGAAGTATTGATACAGTGGGCTTTTTTTTCTTTATTAGCACGTTTGCAGTACATAATGTTTACATCATTTGTGTAGAGTTGATACATGCACATAACACATCTTAATTCCTTTTTCTATTCCCCCACCCTCTGTCTCTTGATACACTTTCCATTTGAGAAAGATGTATTTCCTGTTTCTTATTGTCTGTCTTTATTTATAATTTGGGTTTCTCATTTAAGAGAAGCTATGCAATATTTAAGGTTGTGTGTCTGATTTATTTCACTTAACATTATAATCTCATGATGCATTCCTTGCTGGGCATGGTGATACACACATACCTGTGATCCCAGCATTTGGCAGGCTGAGATAGGAGGATAACCTTGAGTTAAAGGCAGCTTGGACTACATGGTGAAACTTTATCTCAAAAAACAAAACAACAACAAAAAAGATGCATCCCATTTATTACAAATGACTCAGGTTTATCGTTCTTTATGGCAGAGTAGTATGCCTTTGTGTACTAAAAACTAAGAACAAGCAACTGATTCTTAGCCATTAAATGCCATTGTGGTAACCCATACTGTGATAGGAGCTTAGAATTTCTAAGATGTATCTTTTTTTTTTTTTTTTGGTACTGGAGATCAAACTCACGACCTTGTACTTGCTGCAGGACCACTGAGCTAAATCCCAGCCTGAATCTTTTTTTTAAAAAATCACATGTGGGGCTGGGGATTTAGCTCAGTGGTTCCAGCACCTGCCTTGCAAGCAGAAGGACCCGAGTTCGATCCCCAGTACCAAAAATAAAAATAAAAAATTACATGTGCCTTGATGTAGTGAGCTAAATATGATGTTTTCTTCCTTATGCTTTATATTTTTACAATTCTTTGGTAGAAGTTGAGTATCTTACATGAAATGTAGTGATTTCATGCCTTGGAATGTGTTTCTCTTTCCTCCCAATAGATCTTAAACTATGGTAGTTTTATTTAGTCTACTCAGGAGATACATTGGGTTGGATATTCATTGTTACTGTGATTGTGTTCAGTGTAGTACAGACTTGCAGTTCATCTAGCAACAATTTGTTTCTTGAATGGGAACTATTTTTCCAGATGGCCTTCTCTCTGAGACAGAGGGTTTCATTATATATTTCAGCATGGCCTTGAGCTCACTGTGTAGCCCTGGTTGATTTTGAACTCACAGCGTTCCTCCTGCCTCAGCCTCCCAAGTGCTGGGATTATAGGCGTGTGCCGCCATGCCTGGCTCCACATTCATCTTTTGACTGCTTTTCGCATTGCATCTCAGGGAGTTCCTATTTTGTACTCCTAGAATTCTTTCAGCTAAGATTTATTTCTTAATTTGTTAAGAGCGTATTTTCATGACATTGATTATATTTTTAATGCCTGCCTTAAAATTCTTTTCTGCTAAATGCAACATACAGGCCATCATCACATAAGTTTCCATTTTTTAAAATACTGTATGAGGCTTTTTTATTTTTTCAGTGCTGAAAATGATCCCAAGGCTTTATACCGAACTACATCCCAGCTTTTTATTTGAGACAGGGTGTTGCTAAGTTGCCCAGGTTGGGCTCAAATTCACCGTCTTCCTACTTTAGCCTCCCAGAGAATACAGGCATGCACCACTGTACCTAGATTTCTTTTTTTTTGCATATCTAGTAATTTGGGGTTGTTTTCTGGGCATTGTAGATCACGTTGTAGATTGTTATGTGCCCTCTACAGAGGTTGGTTTTTGTTTTAGCAAGTGGTTAATTTCACTCACCTCAAACTTCAGATTCTCTCCTGCAGGGGAGATACCCATTCACCTATTTTGTCATTAACTCCCTGAAGTGTGAGTACTTGTGGATTTCAGAGGTCCATGAGAGATTTAGGCAGAAATTTATAGACAAAATGTGGGTTCCTTTTTTGTTCTTTTCTGGTATTTTAACTCCTTGCTTTCCTAAATATATGGTTTTTCCAAGATATGTTGTAGTAAGACTAAAGATTTTCCACCAAATTTTAGTTGCCCTAGTTGGCCTCCGTCAAAGCCTATACTCATGCAAAAACAGCAAAATATTAAACACTAGGAAACTCACCCAGTGCTTTTTGTTTTTCTCTGTACCTGTTTATTTGCGTTCTAGAATAAGAGAATTAAATAGCATAGTTGGTATGCTCATACTATCTTCAACTTTCCATGAGAGTGAACAGTAATAGTATATTTCTTACTAGGTTTATCTCTTTATCTGAGCCCTAGATCTTATTTATCCCTTTGGGCTTTCTCAGATGCTGTTGTCCTCATTTTATTGATTGATTATCCCCTTTTTCATCTTCAGCTTTACTGGTTCCCTTCTGTCATCATTTTGAAATGCTCACATCACTCTCCTCTCCCCTCCTCTCCTCTCTTCTCTCTTCTCTTTTGTCTGTCCATCTGTCTGTCCATCCGTCTTTAGTACTATGCAGTGAACTCAGAGCCATTGTGCTGAGTCACATTCCAAGCCCCTTTTTTATTTTGAAACAGGGTGTTGCTAAGTTGCCCAGGCTGGGCCTGAACTCACCGTCCTCTGATCTCGGCCTCCCAGGGTGCTGGGATTATGGGCATGTACCATCATGTAAAATGCTCACATCTTTCTTACATTAAGATAAACTAAATTTTCCCTCTCTCACCCACAAGCTATTATACCTTCTCCTTTACCTTTGCAGTTTATCTCCACATTTTCCAACTCCCACTCACTCCTCAACACATTCTAATCTTACTTCTGTCCCTAGCACTGTATTCAGTTACTCTGACCAGGATTATCAGTGGTCTCTGTGTCACCAAATACACTCTCTCTCCATCACTTATGCTGATAATTTCCAAAACTATGTGTTTACTTCAAACTTTTTTTTGTAAAGTTCTAGCTGTGATTGCCCATTCTACATCCTTCCTTAGATATCTCATATTCTCAAATTTCGTGTGTTCATCTCTCTTCCTTTAATAATAATCTCTCACCTTTCTTATTTCTGTGCATGGTATCTGTCCTTCTTACCTCCATATCCAGTTGGTCAGCCAGACTGTTGATTCTACCTTGTTAAAGAACTCTTGAATCTTCACATCTTTTCCAGCTCTTGGCTATAGCATCTCACTCCTTATCCTTTATGAGCCTTTCTAGTCAACCGCAGACAGAATGAAGCCTTCATTGACTCTCCCTGCCAACAGGATAAGGCCCATATTCTGTACCCTACTTTTTTTCTGCCTAACTTTTCCTTGCTCTGTTGTTCCCTTTGCTTTCTGTATGTCAGAATTGTGCTTTATGCTAAGCTGGGAATACTTTCCCGTCCAAGCACTCCTGTGCCTGTATAAGAACTGTTAATTACTCTTTCCTGAAGAGGCCTTTTTGAACTCCCCTCAAGACCATTTGTGAGTCCCTGGCTTATTCTTTCCTAGCATCCATCCATTGTCATAGATTGTTAAGTGTCTGATTTTGGCCCTAGACTCAGTGTTCCATGAGGGCATATTTTGTCTCCTGTCTCCTGTCTTTCTATTAAGTCCAGATTTTTAAAATTTAATTTAATTTATTTATTTATTTATTTTTTTTTTTTATTTTTTTTTTTTTTGAGATAGGGTCTCACTTGTGTAGTCCAAGATAGCCTTAAACTTGCTGTTGCAGTACAGGCTGACCTTGAACTTGCAGTCTTTCTGCCTCAGCCTCCCAAGTACTGTCATTACAGGCATAAATAATTCTAAAATAACTTGAGTTTTCAGGGGGGGTTTTTTGTACTCTTTTATTTCTTTTTCTTCCTTTCTTCTGTCCCTTCCTCTCTCTCTCTTTCTCCTTTCCTCCCTCACTTTTTTCCTTCTCCCCGTCCTCCTTTATTCCCTCTATTCTTTCCTTTCTTTTCTTTTTTCCCTTCCTCCATCCCTCTTTGTCTGTCTTCCTTCTTTCTTTTTTTGTATCGGAAATTAAATACGGGCTTTTGCAACTTGTCACTGTGTTGACAAATTGTTGCACTAAGCTATATCCCTACCCCTTTTTAATTTTATTTTTTATTTTGAGAGATTATCTTACTGATTGGCTAATTGCCCAGGCTAGGCTCAAACTTGTTATCTTCTTGCTTAGCTTCAGAGTTCTGGAATCGCAGGTGTGTAATTCTAGGCTATTGCACATTCTCAAAAAATTGAGTCCTGGCAGCCTGCCCTCACACAGCCCAGGTGGCAGCCCACAGGTCCAGGTGGTGGTGAAGGCAGCTGGCAGTGACGGAGAGCTGTCCCTGTGGGGCCTGCGATGAGAGGACCAGAGTCCACACTTCTGGAGGAGCAGTGCCCACTATGCCACTGTGCCAGAGGGGATGGAAAGCGGCCCCAGAGTGGCCTGCCACCCTACACTAGCTGGCCACCTCTAAGTGCTCTCATAGTGCATTTTATCCACCGCCTCCTAGGCTTTGTCTCTTGATTCAGTGGCTTTGTGATTGGAAAGAAATGAGAGAAAAGGAGAGATATGATCTGTTTTCCAGTTGGTCATCCTGCATTCAGGCCTGGTTGGCATTTACAGAGAGGAAGACACAGCAAGGAAATACTGTCTTTCTGGAGGAGGGTGGGGAAAGAGCAACAAGGTCTTTTATTTTATATGATTTTTTAAAAACCCTTCACTTTGCCGGGGGTGGTGGCACATGCCTGTAATCCCAGCACTCGGGAGGTTGAATCAGGAGGATCACTGAGAGTTCGAGACCAGCCTGGGCTACATAGTGAGTTCCAGGACAGTCTTAACTACATAGTGAGACCCTGTCTCAAACCACCACCCCCCAAAAAAACCCTTCACTTTGACTGTGGTGCTCCAAGTGACAAAGCATAAATCATAGACACCAGAGAATAAGGTGGACCTCAGGAATGTGGCGAAGTTTCTGTCTTTATCAGGAAGGAAGAATGGGGTGTTTGCAGCCCTTTCTGGAACCTAAAACAAAAAAACATGAGTTGTGTGTGCCATGGAAAGGAGACAAGGCCAAATCTGAATCCTTGGAGTTGCCCCAGGCAGCACCCTCACAGATCTACCATGAGAAGCAGCTCAGGGAACTTTGTGCTCTACCTACCCTCAATAATGTTTTCCAAGACAGTAACGCCTTCACACAGATTTTCCAGAGGTTGTCTCCAAACACCATGGTGATACCGCGCAAGAAGAGCATGCTGGGAAATGGTAACTACGATGTGAACATCATTACGGCAGCACTTCAGACCACAGGCCACAAAGCTGTTTGGTGGGACAAGCACGGGGATGCCACTGTCATTGCTCTCACTAATGTCAAGGGCTTCATCACAAATCTGCCTTCCAGCCTGTGATGGGGACCACTTAAGTTGCCCCACAAAAGGCAGCATTGGATCTGTGCCCAAGAGGTAGGAGGTGTCTACTACAACCTTGACTCCACACTCAAGATTCCTGAGTGGATCGGAGGCAAGAGTGAACTCAGGAAATTTCTAAAACATCATTTGCGAGGAAAGAACTGTGAACTCCTGCAGGTGGTACCCGAAGAAGTGGAAGCCCATCAGAGTGGGAGGGCCGATGTGTAACAGTTCTGCCCAAGCTGCCCCTGCCCCACCTTCCAGGCCTCTGTGATGTGCTGTGGCCTGTGCAGTGGGTCTACCCTGGCCATTTCTCCAGGCATCTCATCGGGTTTCCCCTTCCAGTCTGCCAGTGCAGTAGGTCAGGTGTGTGGACTGTCACAAGAACCCACTGTCTGTGTGTGAGAAAGGAAAGGAAAGGCCCAAGCCCTGATGAAGACCAGCCATTGGGAAGGCAAGGTGGGCCCCAGCTGTTTGCTGCTTTCTCTGAGGACCTCACAAAGATTCTGTTGGAATCGTCGCTGCTTCCCCAAGCTCACCAGAGATGCTGCCCCCACTTTTCCCTGCTGTGGCACCAGTGGGTCTGAAGACATAGTACTGTCAAAACCCAGCAACTGCCTCCAAGGACCCAGAGCATAAGGGTCTCTCGGGAAATCGTCTCCTGGACCCCAGCAGCGGTACCACATGCTGGGCCAGCTGCAGCCCTTAATACCACCCACCCCATTTTTATAGGGGTTTTATGGTCAGGCTTGAGCTTTACGATGAAAAGTTCTCTAATATTCCAAGCCAGGTGGCTAAATCCCACAATCTTTGAGCGAGACAAGGGTGAATACATAGTTAAGAGGATGTGGCTAAAGCCTAATTGGGACAGGCGTGGGGTGGCTTTTTTGTACTCCAGTTTTGTCCCTACTATTTCACTATATTGATTTAGGGTGCTTTGGGGAAAAAGTTAAGGAAAATGGGCAGTTTTCATACTTTGTCCACTCTGGCAAAATCAGAAAACTATGTCTACCCTTGATAGCAAATTCCACTAGCTTGGGACAGAATTGGTTGAGGGAAGTAATGTGAAGATACGCTTCTCAGAGTTTAAGAGCAGATAGGATTGGCAGAAACCTTGAGCTTTGAGACTGAGTCACTGTGTTGATAAGCAGCAGAGCCCTCAAGTCAGGTGGTTCTGTGCATTAACAGGTTTGTCATCTCCATGTAGGTTCCTTTATAAATCACTGGGTTGATCCTCCTCTCTCTCTCTACCTCTAGAGATAGTTAGTTGTAGGCCATGTTTTTCCTGTAACTTTGGAAAACAAAAGGGAGAGGAAGTAAGTTATCATACCACATGTGTCACCAAAGTGGCTGTGGTTGCCTCGGGACAGGTGGGCAGGTAGGGGTGACTCATCCAGCCCTTCCGGATCCGTGGTCCTAGCAGGTCGGGGGCTGCCCCACTGGCCAGGCTTTTCTCCAGTAGCAGAGCCAGCCTGGGACTTGCACATCGATCCTCAGCAAGCTTCACAGGGGAAGCCGAGCTGCTCCCTACTGAGCCTGGAGTGAGTGTTTACATCAGCACTTTTTCTGCACCTGTATCTCCAATCCAACAAGGCCTTTTTTTGTGCCAAGTAACAAGAGGCCCCAAGCGGTGACGTCATTATGTCCTCTCAGCTACTGCCCAAGATCTCTTCTGCCCCAGACCTGCTTGGCACCACAGGGAGCCCCTTCCCCTGCACGATGACATTCCAACCACAGCAGCCAGGAAGTTACAGCCAACCTTGCTGATTGTCACAAGCAGGACCATGGGTCCATTGGACTTTTGGTGAGAGTAAGCCCTTTCCTGGGAGGAGGAAACTCCTCTCCACAGATCTGCTCAGGCCTGTACAAATGGCACTTCAGAGGAGGCCCGTGCATGTGAGTCCATGAGCCAACGCAATATGCAAAGACACTTCGACATTTCAGGGCTTGTTTCTCTGTTCATACCTAGTTCTGGTGCTCAGAAACGGGGACCTATGCTGATGCCCAAGGGTAGAAAGACCCTGAGGCCCAGTAAGGGGCAACCCTAGGCTTTTTCTTGCTTTTTGTTCCTTTTAGTGTTGTTGGCCTTATGCTGGGTTTGTTTATAAAAGATGTATTTTGTCTAACCAAATATTAGAAATGAAAAACTATGTGAAAAAATAATTAGCTGTTGGGCTCTAGCAAGGACTACCTGCAGAATCGAGACAGGCGTGACTCCTTAGACATGCAGTAAGGAAAAGACTGACCGTAACCAGGTGTTAGGGCCATGTATCATTTCATGAACATGTTTTGAATCATGTGCATGTAGAGTACATAGTAAAAAAGGAAAAGATGGGATAAGACAGCCAAAAAGATTTTTCATTTAGGGAATGAACGAGGTGTATACTGTCTCTGAGCTAACATTCCCTGTTTTAATTTATCGTTTTAACCTTGGTTTTCACTTAGTTTTCTGTGGTGTTTTCTGGGAGACTCAAGATTTTCTTCTTCCCCCTTCCTCAACCCAGTTCCCCAATACTTAAGATTTTTAGGGAAGTGGTCATTTAGTTTCACAGTTGTAGAATGGACGTTTTGATTAAATTTAAAATGTTGATTTCTTCTTCCTGTTATCTTCACGTTCTGCTAACTTTGTTTTGACAGTCAACCTTGTGCATAATATGTTCTTCCTGTAATGATAAACACCAACTGCTCTCAGGGTTCAGGACTGTTGCTTATACGCTCTTTGCACAAAGGTGATATTTGTTCAAGATACGAACACCGTAATAATGCTAAACTGTACTTGTCCTATCTTTTATTCAGAAAGTAAGCACATCCTTTCTACTACAGACCTCAAAAACACTGAATATAACTAAAGGGTCCTCAGATCTTAGAAAATGTAATTTGGAGTGAAACTATGCTAGCCTTAAGAGAAAGATCATATGCTGTTACTTTTGACGTATTTTTAGAGGGATATCATTTAAATTGTTCATTTATTCATTTGTCTCCCCTCCCATTGAACCCAGGGCCTCATGCATGCTTAGTATGTGTTCTACCACTGAGCTACATCCCTAACTCTTAAATTGTTAAATCATAAAAAGAAGTGAGCTATATGTGGTGTTGCACACCTGTAATAATTGCACTCTGGAAGGGTGAGGCAGCAGGATTGCAGGTTCAACCCAGCCTGGACAACTTGCTGACTTAGTGAGAACTTGGCTCAAAAAAACAAAACAACAGTGGATAAAAAAGGATGATCATGTAGCTCAGTGCAAAGGTCCTGGGTTCAGTCCCCAGTACCAGAAAAGAAGAAGGAAAAAAAGCGGGGGGGGGGGATTCTCAGACAGCAAGGCTAGTAGTCTTCATTAAATGTAAAAGTATTTTCCCTCACTCTAGTCGCATATACTAACACAGCAGACCTTAGCCAAGTGAACACTTCTAGTCTGTCCTTGTGCCTGCTGCTGTGTATCCTGGCCATTAGACACCCTCTGTCAGGCCTGTGCATAAGGTGAGATGTGTGCGGGAAGAGTAGCGGGGGATAGCTCATGGCAGTGAGCAAGGACAGAAAGAAGCTCCCATGCAGGCTGTGTTTGGAGAACCAGGGAGGCATAGGACAAGGTGCAGCTGTAAATATAGATGGCAGAGGCCATGTCTGCTTATGTCCCAACTTCTCTCCAAAATTCTCAAAAATGATGCTTTATTATTGCACTCAGACTACATACAGTCCATATGCTAAGCATTGAAGACTCTCCCTAAAATTTTGTTTGAATTGCATTGGAGAGCTAAGTGATAGTCAATAACTTAGAAGTATCCATATGTGTAGATTGTCTCATCCCTAGAGATGACATGTTGAAAAGTTTTTCTGCGTTCCTTATCTGTGAGAGTTTTGGATAAGCAGACTATGGAGAATTGTCAGTGTCCTGAAATGGGAGGAATAATGAGTTGGAGGTTTGAGAGGGCAACTCACCGTCCTTGAACCTTTACTATTCACCATTTAGCACAGATTTCTTTGTTGTGACTTTTCCCCACTCTGCAGAACATCTGTTAAGAACATCGTCAACTAGCCGACCTGCTTCTCTCCCAAGAGTACCTGCTATGGAAAGTGCCAAGACCATCTCAGGTAATGACTTGTGCTGAATCCCCCCACTTCTTTTCTTCTTTCCTTCCTTCCTTTGCGCTTTCCCTCTCTTTCTCCACTTTCTCTTTTTTCCATTCTACTGGGGATTGAATTCAGCACCTCACACATGTTAAACAAGTACTCTACCACTGAGCTATATCTTATTTCTTTCCTTTTTTTTTTTAATTTTTGAGAAAAGGTCTCACCATGTAGCTCAGGCTGGCCTTGAACTCACTCTGTAGCCCAGGCTGGCCTCAAACTCACAATGATCCTCCTGCCTCAGCCTCTTGAATGTTGGGATTATAAGCATGTGCTACCACACACCTGGCTCCTTTTCTGTTTTTGAGACAGGGTCTCATTGAATTACCCATCCTAGCCTTGAACTTTCAGTCCTCCCACCCTAGCCTGCTGAATAGCTGAGACTACGAGATGTGCTACCAAGCCCAGCTGAGATTTTCTTGTAAAAGTTTTCTCCAGAAGTTTTTAAATATTGGATGTATTGGATGACATGTTAAAAATATAGGTTCATACAAAGTTGATAGAGCTGAAAAAGAATATTTATCCTAAGGTATCTCAGAACTGATTTTGAAGGGTTGTTTCAAAGCACCTAAAAAATATTTCAGGAGACTAAACTTCCCAGGATCCTAAAGACGTCTGTAATGATGAATTTGATTAGCTTTCTTTGTAATCTGGAGATGACACTTCAGTTTATCAGTTGCTTATATTATTTTTCTTTGTGGCCTTTATTTACACTTAATAGGACAACTAGAAATTGAATAGCTACAAAAGGAGAAATCTCTTGAGCTCAGTCACGCTGTAGTTAATGTCACACTTAGACATAGAGTGAGCTAAGTACAATTTGCTTGCTTTGCTTTCCAACATAATAGGATATACATTTATTTTGTATTTTCTGTGGGTCAGGACTTAGTACAGTTTATATACATTGCAAGTCTTTAAAATAGCGAGAAATTCTGTGATCAAATAAAATTACCATCCTTAAGCCTTTTTCTGTGTGCTTTTCTTGTAACAGAGTCCTTCAGATTCTCAGTCTTTTCTGTTTCATGTACAATTTTGAGAGGTTTTTTTTCATTCAGTTTCCTAGCATACCACTGAAAAGATACTACTGGCTCAAGGCATAAAAAGAACCAAAACCAAAAAACAATGAGAAAATTATGCCAGAAATATGCCAGCATTTCATTCTAAGGTTATGTAATAGAAGGAAGCATCTGCCCCCTTTGAACCTTAAAGGGCATCACTTTGCTAATGGAGAGTCATGTGCTGCTGTTACTATCCTGAAATCATCAACAAATGTTAGAAAATAAAATGGGAACAGTTTTTAAAAATCCGAAAAATCTACTGCTGTGGAACATTGGTTACATTAAAATCAGCCCAGGAATGGTAGTTAACAGCTTCTGTGGCTTCGTCCTCTTCTGAGGTGACAAAAAGGATTGCCTGAAGTTGGGGACTCTGTCTGGTATCTCACTTCTTAACTGTCTGCTCAACCCAGGTCTTCAGCACCTGGCAATGTAATACCCAATTTGTTTGTTTGTTTGTTTATATTTTTTAACTCATTAAAGTTTGTCACTGTCTAGCATGCCCTTTGGCTGTGTATTCTTTTTTAAAATTTATTGATACATTTTAGGTGTACAGTACGATGACATTCATCATTGGGAATTTGTACCTTTATGTGATTTATCTTGGTTCTTATTTTTTCCCCATTCCCCTGCCGTCTTCTACCCCTCCACACCTCCCTTTGTTTCCATTATTTCCTTTTCTCATATTTACTCAATGCCATCTTGCTGAAAGCTGCTTTTGTTACTGCTGTTATCAGAGGGCAAAGTGGCTGTTTCCGCCTAACAGTTCTCAGGGATTTTTAATTCTAACAGGATATAGTGTCTTACTATGTCAGACATTCAAAATAGGACTTGCCTTAAAGATTGTTGCTATTTCCCAGTAGTTGACCTTTTTGTTTTCTGTCTCGTTGATTTGTTTTTTAAAATGTGGCCTGACTCGGAATCATGGGTAGCCTGGCCAGGGATTTAGTTCAGTGGTGTTGCTGCCTGCTTCACAAGCGCAAGGTCCTGAGTTTGATCCCCAGTATCAAAAGAAGAATTAGATGTATTACCCTATAATAAAGCTTATTTCCTTTCTGTCCTCTTAACTGTATGTTTGGCTAAGTTCTGAAGGGTTGTAGTGGTTTTAATTATAGGTATTGGGCAGGAATGAACAGTTCCAAATATTGGTCTGGTTTTTAGTTGTAACTAAGTAGACATTTATACAGTACTCACTGTGTGCTTGGTAGATACTGTGAGTGGTACAGTGATGGGGAAGACAGCTCCACGGGAAAGGTGGGATTCAGTGCATATTTCTGTTAGGTGTATAGTCTTTCACAGATAACTTTTCATGAAAAATTAAGTCCTTTTCATCATCACTAATTTAAAAAAAAGTGCTAGCTTATTCTCTTACAAGGTAATACTTGTTCTGTTTGGAATCTTGAGAAGCATATATCTTAAGAAATGAGATTAAAATGTTTTGATATAAAATGTATAATGACTGTTCTTACATTCAGTGTCTCGACGAAGTAGTGAGGAAATGAAACGGGACATCTCTGCACCTGATGGAGCATCGCCAGCCTCTCTTATGGCTATGGGAACCACATCACCACAGCTGTCCCTGTCCTCCTCTCCCACAGCATCTGTGACCCCAACCACTCGAAGCCGCATAAGGTTGGTGTATTTCATGGCTACCTTCTCAAGCTTTAAAGAATAAATGATGAGCTTGTAAATAAAGGCATCTCAACAGTGTGTTTGCTCTTTCTTTTTGTATTAGTAAATGTTGATTCATCTCTTCTCTGTGTAGAATTGGGCAGATGATATAGAAGATACTGACAGAATAAGAGAAACAATTCCTTTTCTTAAGCACTTGAGTAATTTTATTTTTCACTAGAATGATTGAGCACAGAAGTAAGTATAGATTGAGCATCCCTAATCTGAAAAAGTTTAAAATGCAAAAGTTTTGGCATGTAGACATTGTGTTCCAAAAGTTTTGAATTACAGGTTTTTTAATTAGAGATGCTCAACTAGTGAAGCCTACGCAGTTATCCTAAAATCCTAAAAACTGTAATCTTAAATTCTTCTGATCCAAAGCATTTGAAATAAGAGGCAATCAACCTGCATTATGAAATTTGAACATTGAGAGTTATGAGTGAAATGTTAGAGGTTTCCTATAAAGATAAAATTTTGGCAGGACCTTGAGGGTTTCAGGTGGGTTGCGGGGGAGTAACTTGAGCAAATATACAAAAGAGGTAAGTGAGGGGTCAGGCATGCAGTGGGTAGAAGGTCCTGCAGATTTAGAGAACAGCGGAGGTTGTATCTACTGTATTAGGAGGCAGTAAAGACAAGATTGAAGAGACAGACAGACAGACAGGGCTAGTTAGGCATGGTGGCCTACACTTGTAATCCCAGTACTTGGGAGACTTAGGCAGAAGAATCCTGCAAGTTTGAAGCCAACCTAAGCTACACAGTGAGTTCAAGGCCAGCCTGAACTACACAGCAGGACCCTTTCTGAAAAAAGAAAAAGGGCTGGGTGTGTAGCTCAGTGCAGTGCCCTATCTTCAGTCCCTGGTATTTAAAAAGATAGACTAGTAAGGTATTATAGAGTCTCTTTAAAGTCATAGAGTCACTCCAGTTTGGTAGAAGCAGTAAAATAAATTTGTGTGAGAAAAAGATTAAGGTACTATTCTATCCTGGAAAGAAGTTAGGGAAACCAGATAAAATGTTATTGTTTCAGTGTGGAACAGAGTTGTCAAGTCTGAACCAGGGTGATGACAGCAGAAAAGAGCTGAGGAGAGGACTGGGCCCAGGAGAGTTTTCAAAAGAAAAGATAATTTCAACAACAGATTTTTTTTTAATCTTTTTTTCTTTTTTTAATCATAGGAATGGGAGGAAAGATACCAAAAATGGTTCTAAATGCTTAGGTTAAGGCTGAAGGTTGGAGAGCACAATGCTACATTAATAATTGATAAGCAATCCATGAAAATGTAAGTTAATGTTTTAGAGTTATGTCAGAAACCACTTTAGACTGAGAAGTGTTAAGAAATTAGAGGAGGGCCAGGGATTTAGCTCAGTGGTTCTGCCACTTGCCCCACAAGCACAAGGTCCTGAGTTTGATGCCCAGTATCAGAGAAAAAAAAAAAAGGAACTTAGAGGAAATTGATAAATGTCAGAAATCTAACACTTTGTGTTTAGGGATGAGGGGAAATTGTTGTAAATATTAAGAATGGAAGGAGGGACAGTAAAGGGTTTCAGAAATTTAGCTGTATGTTAATTTCTAGGTTTAATGATAAAATGAAGTATGTAGCCTCTCTCATTCAAATTATGAACTTTACAGTGCCACCTTAAGGGGCCCAACCTCTGAGATTAATAGTCCCATGGCAGTGCATCTTACGAGCAAATTGGCAGTGCAGAGATGAGGGAGCCTAGGCTGCTCCCTGCAGGGGAGGGACCATCAGCGCTCCACTTTGTGTCCTAGGTGAAGGTCTCCCTGCAGAGGGCATTGGCTGGAGACTCGACGACGCTTACTCCTCTTAGTTCCCCAACTGAGGAGCGGTGATCTTCAACATGGCATCTCCTGGCACTAGTTTCTTCATTTTAGAATGAAGAAGTTGTAAGAAATCTCCCTCAGTCTCCAAGGGACTCTGTTTAGCAGCTTCTCATTGTGTCCATAGAGTTTATGCTGATGCTTTTTAAGCTATTTCTGTAGCAAAACAGACCCTTTAAGAACAAGAGTAGGCTGGGCGTGGTGGCACACGCCTGTAATCCCAGCACTTGGGAGGCTGAGGCAGGAGAATTGCTGGGAGTTCGAGACCAGCCTGGGCTACATAGTGAGTTCCAGGTCAGTCTTAACTACATAGTGAGACCCTGTCTTAAAAAAAAAAAAAACAAGAGTAAACCTTTCAATTTATTGTAATAGTTACTTTTATGTTTAGCATAACCATTTTTCTGTGGGTTTTTTTGCCTGTTTTCTTTTATATTCATTTTCATGTATTTATTCTCTATTTATAGTAATATTAAAACAAACTTCTTTGAGCCTCATACACGTTAGAATTCTGATGTGCTGACTTACAAACACAAAATATTACTTCAAGGTAGCAATCTTGCTGCACATTGAAAATGTTTGGTATTTTGCTTAGTTCTAAAATAAATAAAAATTGGCACTATTTTAGTGCACCTCCCCGTTGGAAAACTTCAGTTCTAAATTTATCCTGCTTGATTTCATAGTATACTTTGAAAGATGATTACTGACAGAATAAATATGCTGAGGAATACTAATATTACCTCTGGAACATTTATTGGTGTACTGAGTTTGTGAAATATGTAGCTAGAGTTTTTGCTTTGCTTTATAATCACTAAAAAATAGACCAATTTTTAAAGAACAGGCTACTTGTCAAGGAATGTGTTACAGAGCAGCGCCTTCCTCCAGGTATTCCTTAGTGTTCTGCTTCCAGAGCCACTGCTGACAGGAAGGATTTAATACAGAACATATAGAATTGTATATCTCCTCTGGCTCATCACCAGGAGTGATTGCAGAATCTTTTTTTTTTAAGTAGGAAAAGTTTATTCTGCCTAGGAGAGACAGAAGGAGGACTGGAAAGTGAGTTGCCCTGCAGAATCTTTTTTTTATTTCACTGTGTTCTGGGGCAAGATATTTACTCTGTCTATAAGGCATTTAGCTGTGCCATAAAATACCCTACATAGAATTTTTTAAATGAATTACCTTCACTTATACATTCATTTATTGGTAGTGCTAGGGATTAAACCTAGGGCCTTGTGCCTGCTGGGCAAGCAGTGCACAACTTAGTTGCATCCCTAGCCCAGCCATTGAATTTCTTTTAACCCAAGCTTCAGTATTCCATTGTATAGTAAATTCTGAAGTTCCATGAGGGGCAGGCATCCTGTGTTCACGATTGTTTATCCAACACTTGCACACTCACTGGCACAGTGCTGTGCTGTTTCACACAAGATGACATTGGATGTAATTGAGTTAAAGAAAATTTCCATTTCCTGGTAAAACTAACTTGCCTACACACAATAAAGAGTATACAACTTGCTGGGAACTGTGGTATGCACCTGTAGTCCCAGTACTCATGAGATTGGGCAGGAGAATCATTTGAGCCCAGGAGTTCTGAGTTCTGGACCATCCTGGGCAACACAGCAAGACCCTGTCTAAAAAAAAAAAAAGAAAGAAAGAAAGAAAGAAAGAAACTGTATACACATAAGTAGTAAACATATTTGAGACTCTTTATGGAAGTGATAAATGTTTTTAATGTTTATTACCATCTTTTGTCTCCTTAATCTGCTTCCCGCAGTTGTGGGCCCCATGAAGATAGGAGTTATATCTTAGAATCCTCCACCTTGCATAATCTTGCCTTTTATAGTTATAGTAAGTGATCCAAAATATTATGAGATGATTAAGGAAATAAAAAGGAGCAAAATAAACCAAAGTACAAAGTATTGGAAAAATTAGACTTTGAATGAAAGGCAACCAGGATGATTTCAGATGCCGCCAGTATCAGGTTGTCTCCCACACTTTTTAGCACTGTGGAATGCATACTGTTAATTGTGCATCTGAATATTTTCTCTTTCCATGTGTGTGATGAGCAGAGTCTCTCCCTTCAGATATAAGATGCCCTTGACAGCTGCAGGTCTATGGGGTCGTAAACTAAAAATAGGTAAAAATCAAATGAAGGGAAAGCTATATCTTGCTGTTAAATGGTATTTATCCTGTTCAAAAATGCAAACTCATGTTGTGCTCTTATTGTGGTGCTCAAATACAAAATATTTCATTTTTGGGCTTCTTGTTTTCAGAGAAGAAAGGAAAGACCCTCTCTCAGCATTGGCAAGAGAATATGGAGGATCGAAGAGGAATGCCTTGTTGAAGTGGTGCCAGAAAAAAACGGAAGGCTATCAGGTAATCATGTGGTTCTTGTGTTTTCCACAAGCAGTTGATAAACCAACTGCTAGGATATCATAACTCATCATGTCTTGTATTCAAAATAAGCACTGGGCCGGGGATTTAGCTCAGTGGTTCCGGCGCCTGGCTTGCAAGTTCAGGGCCTGAGTTTGATCCCCGGTACCAAAAAAAAAAAAAAAGAGTCATATACCAAATTTCAGGAAAACATTCTCAAAGTTAACCTTTCCAGAGTAGCCAGTTTTTTCAATTTTTTTATTCTGCTCTTATAGCACTTTTTTAAGTCAAAATTGAATGCTTCGGTTGAGATATCATTTGGACTAAGTTAAAATGCATGTATTTCACTTAAAATTAATAGTTATATATACACACATACACATTTTAGTTAAGTTGTTTTTGATAACTTATTTTTATTCTCACTGTGTTTTGTCCACTCATCATTTCACATCTGGACTATTGTAACTTCCTACCATTTCCTCAGCCATCTGTCTCAGTATTTTATTCAGGTTTTATTTTAAATGGTATTACATATTACTTTGGAGAGGGAGCTCTAATTCTACACAAAATGAAAACTTCTAAAGTGTGTCCATCATAGTGCTAAAACATACAATTTAGATTCCCAGTATCCTCACATAGGATTTTAGTTACAGAGACTTTTCACAGCCTGCAGCTGGTATTATTCATACTTTGGTATAAATATGCAACAACCGCAACACAAGAAAGTAATTAAAATTCTGTGTTCTCGGTCTCATCACCATAGCCATCATCTCAACAAAATGGCAAAAAGGAACTAACTGTAACATCTGCAGATACCTTTCCACCAGAGGTAGAAGAGCAGAGTAAGACGTATGAAAATTCCTTAAAAAAATAAAGGCAGGGCTGGGTATTTTTTAGCTCAATGGTCTCAGCACCTGCCTCACAAAGTTCAGGGCCTGAACTTGCCTTCCCTCGGGCAAGGGCCCGAGTTCAATCCCTGGTACCTCCCCCGATAAATAAAATAAAGACAATTACCATGTGAAAGCACAGACTTGAAGAGATATTTCAAGTACACCCATGTCTGTAGCAGCATAATTCACAATAGCCAGGAGGTGGAAGCCACCCATGAAGCAACAAATAAATGGATAGACAAAATGTAGTATATTCATACACTGGAATATTTCTCATATACATGCGCACGTGCACGCACACATAATCACCATTAGAAGAAAATTCTGACACATTCTGCAATCGAGAAGCCATGTATAAAAGAACAAATACTATACAATCCCACTTATGTGACACACTTAGGGTAGTGATATTCATAGAGGCCAAGTAGAATGATGGTGGGGGAAAGGGAGAAAAAAATTCTGGAGATGGGTGGGTAGTGATAGTTGCATAGTAATACTAAGGTACTTAATCCCACTAGTTATTAAGTAAATTCATGCTATATATATTTTACCACAAAAAAATTACTTACCAAAAGTAAAAACAAAGAAAAACAAAGACAGATAAAATTACATTGAAAATCAACAAGGAAATAAAAGATTTGAATGACACTGTCTTAATTACTTTTCTCATTGCTGAGACAAAATATCCGACACCCAAAATTAAAGGAGGAAAGGTTTATTTAGCTCACAGTTTGTAGAGGTTTTAGTCTATAATCAGTTGGCTCCAAGGCAAGAGGGCATGGCAGACAGGCGTCACAGAGGAGAAACAGTTCATCGTGGGCAGAAGCTGGCAAAGCAGTAAGGGACCAGACAAGCCTCTTTCTGTCTCATAGATTGTATCCAGGCTACCAGGATTAGGGCAGTGTCAAACCAATCAGTGGACTGATTTAGTAATCTAGCACCCTTAATCCTAGCATTGTGCCACAAATCACATACTCTAGATTCAGCCACCTCTGAAAAAGGCCCATTTATGACTGTATGAAGCTTTGAGGGGACATCTAGACACAAGTCATGTCAGACAGTATGTACCAACTAGGCCCAAAAGTTATTTATTGAACACTCCATCCAATAACAGCAGCAAAATACACTGTCTTTTGAAGTGCACATGAACATGTCAGGATAGGTATGTGTTAAGTAATAAAACTAACATAAATTTTTAAAAACTGAAATTACACAGTTTTCTTCCAGTCTTTTCTGATCGCAGTAAAAGGAAATTAGAGTAATAACAGAAGGAAAATTGGAAAATTCACATATATGTGGAAATTTAATCATTTACTTCTAAATAATGAATGAGTCAAAGAATAGTGAGGGATATTAGAAAATACTTTGAGGAAAACAAAAATGAAAAGAGCATAACAAAATTTATAGTAAAATTTTGACAAGTTACTGAAAGCAGTTCTCAGAGATTTATAGCTATAAACCTTGTTAGTAAATAAAATTCAAAACATTAACCTAAATTTTCACCTTGGGAAAGTGGAAAAAGTAAAGCAAACTAAACCAAAAGCAAGCAGAAGGAAGGAAATAATAATGATTAGGACAGAAATAAGTAAAATAGAAAAACAACAAAAAAGAGTAATGGAAAAAGTTGATTCTTTAAAAAGATCAACAAAATGACAAACATCATTTAGATTAACCAAAAACGAAAGAAAACTAAAATTACTAGAAATCAAGAATAAAAGAGGAGACCTTATAAAAATTAGAAGGCAATACTGCAAATAGCTGTGTGCCACAAATAGGACAACCTAGGTGGTATGGACTGTTTGCTGTTTTTCAGTTGAGAGGTTGGTATCTGTGCAGGATTGTTTTTGCCTCCACTCTAGCCCTGCGAAGGCTCATCCTTCATACATTGCCCTTGCTACCCCCATGGGGCTAGGTTCTTCCATAAACTCAGTCTGGGTAGTTTTTATACATTGGGGCATATTCTTTGGGTGCCTTTTTGTTTATATAACCCACTCTTCCTGTGGTCTCAAATCCCACAGAATTTATCTCAGGGGTCTTATAGTTGTTATTTTGCATATTTCTTTTCCTTCTATGTTTTATCTACCTAGCATCCAGCATAAGGCTCAGCAGGTAGCAGAGCTCAGTAACTGTCAGCCAACTGTAATGGGATATTTGGGAAATTCATTTTTAGAACAGTGGTTCTTAAATTTCTTTGTAAAACCCTAGAAGATTGTGGAAAAATGCAGATTCCCAAGAAGCATTCCTAAATATTTGTGATTTGAGAAGTATAAAGTGAGATCGTAGAGTCTGCATTTTTAAGCATGCTCAGGTGATCTGTAGACTATTCTACGAGAATCATGAACAGAGTAGTGATTAAGATCTTGAAATGCCAGGCATGGTGGTACATACCTGTGATCCTGGCACTTGGGAAGCTGAGGCAAGAGAATCACTGTGAGTTTGAGGCCAGTGTAGGCTACATAATGAAATCCTGTCTCAAAAACAAAACAAAAGTTGCATGGTGGTACATACCTGTAATTCCAGCACTTAAGAGGCTGAGGCAGGAGGATCACTGCAAGTTCAAGACCAGCCTGGACTACATAGTGAGTTCAAAACCTGCCCGAACTGTATAGCCAGACCCTGTCTCAAAACAACAACAACAAAAAAAAACCCTTGAACTGTTCTACTTCTTAGGTAAATTAGCCTTTTTTCTTCCTTTGTAAAATGAGTTGCTCTCATGTACTGTCTTTAATAGATTTTAATTACTTTTTCTTCCATTGTTAGGTGTCTTACTGTAATGCAAGCTTTAAATTTTCATAGAATTCTACTTGAATTGAGTAATTATAAATTTATTGACTGATTGAATGATTTTTGTGTTACTGGGGGTTTAATGCTGAGGGCACCTTTTCATGGATCTACATCTCTAGCCATGTTTTTGTTTTGGTTTTCTTTGACACAGGATCTTGCTAAATTGCTTGGCCTCAAACCCTTAATCCTTCTGCTTTACACTCTGTAGTAGCTGAAACTATAGACATAAGCCATCACACCTGTTTCATACATAATTTTTAAAGTACAGCCCCAAAGTTCCCATGGAGCATTGCCATGATTCAAGTTGATTAAAGGGAGATAATTTAAGCAATAAATCAATAACTAGTATCCCTTGATTCCATCCAATTTACATTCTCTGATTCTATGATCTTAGGACATTCGCATTATGATGTGTCAAAAAATACATACACATAACTCAGTTATTTCAATTAATTTTTTTTTAAGTTTCTTTTGTTTACTTGGTGGTTACAATGCAAGAGCAAATATGATGCAAACAGAGTGGTTAATTGTACAAAAAGAAAAACCTTTCTGTCTTTCCTGCAAGCCCAGTTCCCCCCATTTGTACTTACTATGGTCACTTCTGTAATAATGTGTATGTACAGCTTTTTTTTTTTTTTTTGGTATCAGGAATTGAACTCGGGCCCTTGCACTTGCGAGGCAGGCAGCGAAACCACTGTACAGCTTTTTTAAGAGGGGGTTCACTTTTGTTTTCTGTGAAACACATGTTGTCTCTTGTCCTTTAAAAGTAGATATGATGCTGGGTTTTAAATTTGAAGGTCTTTAAGTTAAAATTAGCCTGAATTGCATAATCTTTTAAACCAAAAGATCTGCTAGAGCTCTTATAAGCACTCTCAAGAGCCATATAATAAGTGCCAGTTCCCTTTTCCTATTTAGCTGTAAGTGTGGATGCTCATATTTATCCTTTAGTGTCAATAAGTCTGGCTTCAGGCCTTTGGTCTCTTCCTGTGCACAGTCTCAGGAAAAGGCAGGTTGTGACATTTGACCAAGTCGAGCAGGAGCTGTTACGTGACACTTAGCACACACTGCTCCTGCAGGCCCCAAATGTATCATTAATGTTTGGGTCATGCATGCTTTATGTTGAAGAAGCTGTCTAATGAACAGAGATAGATTCCCTAATACCCCTATCTTCTTTCACTAACTCTTTTTAAGAGTCAGCCTAAAATTACTGTGATCACTGTAATTTCATTAACCATCCATTACAAAACAAGGCTTTGTGAGTTTGCCTTTTATCTAACAGATGCATTTTTCTCCTTTAAACTGTGCACTGCCATTTATTAAGCACTGACG